TTGAAATCCCAAATGACTGTCTGCCTGCAGTCCCATGAAACCACCAAATCATTCAGTATAAAAATACATTGAAAGCTAGTTATTTGAACACGTGCGGAACTGCTTACATTTGCACATATCTATGGTTTCGTTTCTCCGGTGAAAAGAAAAGACACCAGTCAACATTTAGCGTCGTAACACTTTTGAAGCTTCGTCAAAATATGGAAAGATGCCCATAGGGATGGCTGACTTAAGTCTGTTGTCAAAATCCAAATGGGGTAAATCCGTTGAGCCAGTTGTGACAATGGAGATGTCCTGGCCCACTGGACTACAGTAAGCGTAGCATTGACTGCTTCCATCTGCACACTAACTGCCCACAAACGCGAACAGATCTTCACTGAAACCATGGTTTGAGATGAAAAATGGAAAATTCAGATAGAGGGAAAAGGGACGTTAACTGGGGGGGGGGGGCGACGAAGGGGTTGGTCTAGACAAACGTGGGAGAGAGAAATGCTGGTACTTTTGGTTGCTATGCTTCGGAAAATTTTTGAAAAAGGCGGCTAAGTGACAATGCTCATTGCTAAATACAGAAAACGGGGTGGAACAAGAATTCAGCTCGCTAAGCTCGGACGCATCGCACCAACTAATCACCTTTTGGAACACTCCATAGTCATTATTGTCCTAAAGATGAACCCACGCGGGTTGGAAATATTAGTCAAAGCAAATATTTCATTTATGTTCTGCTTCTTTTGTAGATTTTAAGGGTACATTAGATCCATGCACATATAATTGGCTAAAGTAGTATCAACGAACACCCCACATGACTGAATGGTAAGGCCTCAAGTAGGTCTACCCTGTTCAGGATAGTTAACCATCAATTTGAGTGTACGTCTAATAACGGCCTGTTTTTAATCATGTGAGTAGGCCCCAACTTTAATGACATCATTGATAGAAAAAAAACAGCAAAAAACGTAAAACCATGTTTGCACATAAACTCGGTGATAGAGAACGTGACTGCGGGGGGGTCACAGTTATGCCAGCCTCTGTTATGACACAATCGATGCGTCAGACTGTGCCAACAATACTTTCGTTCCATTTTGAACTCAAAGGCGAGTAAAGTACCCAGCACAATTGCGCAGACAATAGTGACGATGGTTTGGTGATGGTCACCCTCGCATTAATCTGTGTGGCCCCTTTAAAACAATGGCGAACCTCCCTCCGCTCCGTGCCGTCAATAAGGGGCGGCAGTAGGCTTAGTGAGGACGAGGGGATCGTGCTCAATTATAGTAGCTTGTCCGCCCACGCACGAGACCTTCAGACCAGCGCGAGTCAGAGTTGTGTTCACTCAGTGGGCTTAATTTTGGGGTGCTTTTTTAAAAAAGGGCATCACGTGCAAGACCGTGTTGTGAATCAGCTGTCAAGGCCAATGCGGTGAGTTGAAACGCCGACAGGCAACAGAGAACGTGGTTCACAGGCACTAGCTATTTCCCTACTTCAGCACACTTATTTGAACTGCTCCTCATCACTTTATGGTAATGATGAATCCGAACAAAACCAAATTTTGGTGGGATGTTGGATTTGCAAAATCCTCAACGTCTGTATGCAGCGGAAAGCACGAAAAAAAAACAATATGCTGTTAAGCCTGCCTGACTTCTTTCAAGTGGGAGGTCAAGTTGTGTAGAGTAATTCCGAAGTCGATTAGTACACCTTCAAGGGAGCAGAGCATCATTGAATTGGAAGTGATCGCCACGAAATATGCTTTACATAAGTGAAAGCACTATAATTTTGATTGTTGAGTGTGACATTGTGCACTAGGTCACTAAATTGATAGAGGTTGAGTCGTGCTCGGTGGGGTTAAACACAGAAAAGGTAATTTGGAAGATAATCCATCTTATTTGTGGCTTCATCGATGCAACTGATGGTAAAGTAAGCCAAATTTGTACGCATCGTAAAGTCTACGAGAGCTGGCAGGAGGAGCTAACAGGATTTTATGGTCAAATTTTTAGGGCCCACTTAATGAAAATGTATCTTAACGAATATGTCGGAATCATTAGTGTCAGATAAGTATTTCGAAAGGAATGGAATTGGCCCAATTCAATAAACAGGTTTTTGCTACTATTTAAAAATCATAAGTTTGTTTAATTTGTCCTCATTTCCGTCAAATAGTCCTAAACATGAATATTTCGTACCGGTAACCAAAAGCCGATGCGAAAATTTTCCGATTTCACGAAGCTGCTCCATGGCCGGTACCTGAATCAACGCATCTCTTCTGGAAAAAACGGGACAGCGGGGGTCGAACAAAGGGCCGAGGTTTCGCCTTGGTTTCGATCAACGTTGCACTGATTGTCTACTTGTGGAATGAGTGCAAGCGCATCAACCAGGAGGTTACAAAGTGATCAGCATATTTAAGAGATTTTAGGGTGGCTTCGGAAAAGTGTTTTATCTATACATGTGTCACACATTGTAAAATTAAACACAGTGACTGCGAAAAACTTTGATTTTGGCTAACCTTATGGCCGTTAAAGTTGTGTTCCGATTGTATTCTTCACACCATACAGTGATTGTCATTGATAGGTGCCGTCAAGTTATTATGCCCATGAACTAAATAGGAAACACGCTTTACCGCAGAAGCCAAATCAGAAGCTGCGAGGTTGCAAGTTCACTTGAATGACTTCCCAGTAGCGGCATCTGCCATTTTTACCACCACCCAACAGAGCTGGTCCTTTGGCATTTGAGATGCACTTGTCGAGTTGATTGCATTCAAGCATGACCCACCCGCCGTGAAGGTGGCGCCGTAAGAAAGCCCGACTGAACTAAGCTTGGGAGCTGAACAGCAGATAGAGAAAAATATTTTAAATGGTAACCGCTAAATGGTAGTTTTTTTTTTCAAAAAGGCGAGACATCAACAACGATGGCAACTTCAGAGATGCTGGTGACAACCCTTCTTAGGTAGGAAGAGGTTCACTAAGTTCAGATTAGGTTAGACTCATGGAAAAGAATACTGCAGTATTTAATCACTTTGGCCACCGCAACTAACCGCAGGTCAAATCAGACGGCGCTTCCACAATAAAAACGCACAAATCATCGACTAACTTAGACAAACGCTTCAAAATACAACTGTAAAACCAAATCATTACCCACCGGAAACTGGCTTTGATTACGGTTGGTGTTATCTGGAAACAGCAGAGGCTTAGACTACCTAAAATTGGCTTCCATATTAATTGGGCCAACTGTCGGAGCTCAAACGTTTGTACAACCTCGGGAGACTCGGGTGTTTGGGTGAGCCTCAACTCGTCTCAGAGGTGGCAATGGCTAGAAGGGTGAAAAACGCGGCCTAATAAAACAGGTCTTAAGCCTTGCAAGTTAAAACACGAACACGTCCCCTTTCACATGCGGGCTGATGGCCGATGCCGTAGTTTTTGTACGTTCAATCCCAACACAAAGGCACACCTCAGTTCTCGTGTCCAGGTGGTTTGCGTACTCACAAACCTGCATGGTCGCCCCACCCTGGTGCTCACAGGTGTGGGGGAAGTAGGGTTCGTTGTGGTTTTGGGGCGGGCGTGCTCACACAGGGCCCATCAGACATGTTCGATCCTGCTCGGAAGGGACTCACACCTTTGAAGGGGGAGGGGATAAGGTCTAGGGTTGGGACAGCAGTAGTCGATTAGACCTGGTCTTGGTGGGGAGCAGGTGGTTCGAGCTTTCCAGCGGGTACCGGTTGGGAGGGGGGGCTGAGGTAATTCATTATTTGCTAGGTATGGACAAATGTATGCGTGGTGAAACCAGGAGATGTCAGCCGGTCTCATTTTATACAGAACAGAACTATTCCAACAGAACTTGATCTAACCACGATAACACGTGGCCTTCTGATCACATGGCCAGCCTGCAGCGGGGGTAGGGAAGGAGTTGGGAGGTTATGGGGTTCAAATTGAAGTAATGTAGCAGCCCGGCCCACATGAGGGTTCTCTCGTTAGTCGAAGCCTTCGGAAGCACACGCACATCAGTATTTTACCGTCCTCAAGTCACTGCGGCTGAGCATATGCCTGTATCACGATAACTTACGACATTAATTCACATGAAGGTTGAACCGCGTGAGTTGGGTGGGAATGCATCGTAGCAAATGGGAAAAGCCGCTTTTTACCTTTTCTTGATCTATCCCGTTCAGGATTTAAATACGCCACCCATTGCACAATAAGGCTGCGTATTAAAGATCAAAGTAGGCCGACATACTAGACGGGAGTTTGTCAAAGGATTGGATTTATTATGAGCAAATGAATGGGCCATTTTTGCTACTTAAGACACGGCAAGCCTAACAGGAAACCACCAGGCCTACCAAGAACGGTGAATACAAGCTAAAGCAAAGAGACGAATTCATATAGAGCGGAAGATAATTTATTGTAATGTGCCAAGCACGGTTAGTAGCATCGCCTGAACAGCTCCCTATCTGAACTCAGAGTGCATCTTGTAGCCTCGCGAAATTCACACGATTTCTGATGAAACCTTGAGGTTTTATGAGGAATTTCGGCGGGAGTATAGAGGAAAATTTGATTGTTCAACAGATGCATAAGGGAAGCTGTGCTGCCGCCTCCAGCATTTTCATGAAAACAAGCTCAGGCATCCCCACGCCGCCTAGCCGAGGAGACCTGTGCACTAGTTTGCTTTAAAAAAAAACAACCCCTAAAGTATGTTTCTTTGGGGAAAAAGAGACTCCACTATTTAAGGTTAATCCTTCATTAGTAGTTTTGTGAACCAGGGAATGCAGTTACAGGTTTCAAAAAATACCAAGGTCTCGAAAATCACTGAGGTCAAAATTATGGTAGTTAAGATCTGTGCGTTTTATCGATTAACATGCGGTTTCTCGTGTGGTCTTTACTACCAATTAGCTTTAAGAAAATGGGCATTGGCGAAGGTAGAGGCACCGCCGGCGAAGATTCGAAATTCGGATCAATCGATGCCTCATTCGGCGGCTGATTTCGAAGCACACGACAGATGGCGAAGTGGTGTCATCAGCATTTCTGGTGATGGCAGACCACGGCGAAATTAATTATAACGAACCAGTCGGCAAGTGGCTCTGCTGCTACTTCTTCCACAAACGACCGCGCGCCAATGACGACGAGTTGGCTGGTCAGCGGGAGGGTGCGCGGGAGGACGTGGTGTTGGAATGCAAGGCCCGGAAGGTTGCCCGGATTCTCTACTTTAGAGACGACGCGGCTACGCAACGGAGGAGGCGCGAGGCCGACCTCAAGGTGCTCGAGTTGGAGCGTCAGAAAGTTCCCCTCAAATTTCGAATGTACCAGTGGGGTAAACCAGCACCGACCGCCTTCACCGAAAGACTGATGCGACATGAGGCTAGGCTTGCTCTTTGCAGAACCTTTGATGATTTTCTTAAATGAGGAACTGAATTAATTGAATTTTGAAACTGGTAGCTTTATCCTGATACGACTTGCGGTTGACTTGAAACTTAAACGTTTTATGGCATTCCGTTTTTGTGATTGAAGGGCTTTTGGCTGACAAATGGATACTCCCATTGACTCTTGAAGGTAGGCAATACAGTCTTTGGTTGAATTGAGAAAAAGCTGACAATTCGAGTACCGTAAAAGGAGTGACTAAGGGACAATCTTCGACGAAACTGGATCAGCTTCTCCTTCTACTTTCAACGAAATAGTAGCTGTAAGTATTCATTCGCTATATTAGTCATAATTTAAAAAATCTGCTAAGTGTGATCCCGTCCTGAAAATGCGTGAAAACGTTGCCTCTTACTCTTGGCGGAACACATGAATTATAGCAAGTACATTAATAACTGTTAATAGAAGACGTGATGCTTTTCAAAGAGCATACAATTTCACCTATGAAATTGGGTACCCCAGGAGAAAAAAACGAATGAGTAGGACATTCTGAAAAGATAATAGAAATACCAGTGAGAGTTGATATGAGCAACCTAAAATGGAAGGCTTGGTGCAGTTAGCTCGAGAATTCGTCACAGAGTGCATGACTAACTAGGGGATAGATACAAAAGCGGAGAAGTCTAGCGCTGGCGCAGAAAGGCGTAGGTTGCCTGGTCTCACTGTGCTAAAGTCACCTACTAGGACGCCACAACGAAGGCTGGACAAGAAGCTATTTTCGTGAGGAATAACACAAAGGAAATTACAAAATAAATTGAATGGCTGCTCCTAAGTCTAATGGGCATGTGGAGCCACCTCCATGACTTATCTGCATTCATTTCAACACAAAGCCTGCTCTGAATGCACGCTTGATTATTCCGACTGCGTCTGCCCATCGTCGACCCCTTTGCCTGTCCCATAACTTGAAAGTCCGGTTCACAAGTAATCGCAATTGACTTGATTCGATGCTTGGATTTTCACCTTCGCCGATGATTGTCAGTCCACTCAAATGCAGTTCCCAATGTTTGTTTTTATGGTGCCACCGTCCCCTGAACCCGTTGGTATGATCAAAATTTGAAGAGTTACATCGTCTTGATTACAAATAAAAAACGCAATCGATTTACAACGTGCTGCTACCAATTGAGAGAGCGTTAGTGCTATGCAGATCAAGTGCATACCTTGAAAAAGACAAGCTACCTTAGAATGGCAACTACATTTGCGCGGTTATGCTATCGATTTTGTACATGCTGCGGGATGTTAGCGTTAAACAGGCCAAAAGATGCAGCAATTAGTTTGACAAATCGCAGGTGGGAATGAGTGTCATTGTTGGATTCTCGTTTGATGAAATAAAAAAATACGGGAAGTTGACATTCAACGTGAGCTTGAAGCATTGCGTTGAAAGAAGTGTTCGAGGTGAATGCGGAGTTGGTCGAGACGGGGCGTGGGATTGGTGATGGCGTCCTGGGCCCACGTGGGCAGCTGGTCGCGCAGTTGCCGTCTGGCAAAGCGTTGGTCGAGCAGGAAGACGGCGGCGTAGTCACGGGCGTGTCGAATGGCTCGACCGATTGTCTGGTTCACAGCGCGCATGCACATCGCCTCACAAAAGACCTGCCCGACTGTCCGACCGTCCTTCTGGCATTTCGCGAAACGCTCGTTCATAAAACGCAATTTCTCACGCATCTACAGAGCAAGAGGCGAGGGTTATGCGGCACGACTGGGTGGTAGCACTAGTAAGGTTAAAAAATTGTCAAGGAACAAGAAAGGCCAAGGTAAAGAGCAAATTAGGAACGAGACCAGGCTTTTGTTTCAAATTCATGTGCCTTCACAGTGGCCGAAGGGGCGAGTATTGCGAAGGCACGGGGAGTTAGCTGGCGAAAGTGGGCGCAAAGATGGCAAGAAGCTCGGCTTTAACGTCTAGATTGCCTCCGTAAATGCGTCGGTGAGTTAAAACGGAGGCAGATGACGAGCACTTCGATGCGCTTAAATAAATAGAATTTTGAGTGGAGGGATCATGGAGTTAGTTGGCAAAACGCCGGCAACCAAATAGAAATACCTCGGAATAAAAATGGATACGAAACCGCAAAAATAGTACTGCGACTACGAAGGTAATTGAAATCACCATAACAACCTTCGTAACTGGATTATCCCTAATATAGACGAATTTGTGGACATTAAAGTAGGCTTCATTTGTTCTACAAAGCCAACGAAGAGTTGCGTTGCACGATCGTGCGACATTGAATTGGATGAACTTTGAGTGGCACGTGAGTAAATGTGATATCTGATCAAGAAGGCGTAATTTGATGGTCCGGAATTGCAAGTGCTGGGGGCATCGATTCGTAAGAACCCACCGAACAGGCCCGCCTTAAATGCAATCAAAAACGTTTTCGTGGTTACAAAAAATTCACATCAAGGGCTTTTGAAGACGGAATCGCATTATTCACATTACGCAGATCACCAGGCAAATTAAACTTCTTTCCATGTAGCTGCGCAACGAGCGGGAAAATCTAACATCTGGTAGTATCCATTACATGGAGACTTCAGATTTTTATCTAACGCGTCGGAAATGTTGTCATTATTGGAGCAGGTTTTTGGCACGCTTAAATACTGCGCCGTGGGATTTTTGCACTAAAAGCGTGCACACAAACTCGACGCGTCGATCGATCGGTGGCGGTTGACATCCCGCCGCCCTACACACACACACACGCACACACACACACACAACGTGATTCGTGGCTCGCGTGGCGTTAGCTTGGCGGTCGGACGTTGGGGCGGGCGATATCGATTAAGTTAGGCACTGGAATCGTTACGGTTACACTTGAATTTCGACTCAAGCTTTATAGCTAACACCCCGGTTCACCCATCGCACCCCAAACCGTCGTCCGCGTTACTACGATCTGAGAATCCCATGTGGTCACTGAAAGGAGAGTAGTTGGTAGGGTAAGAAAAAATTTGCGGCAAATTTGCAGGATGAAGAGATTGTTGAAGCCATCCAAGTTGCTGAAGCCTTTCGAACGCAATTCCTTAAAAATCTTCTGGCCTTAGAAGCGGGTGGTATAGAATAAAAAAACGTCAAAGTACTAAAATGGGGGCAAAAGCGACTAAAGACACACGTATCGTGACATATAGCAGAGCTTACAGCGGCAGAATGGATATTTGGGTAGGGTAGACCGACAACTACGACGCAGCGCGCGAGAGAGTCATTGAAGTTGATGCCTTCTGATAGCTTGCCGCCGATCACACAGACAATGCAGGCGCCCTGCCTAGAAGAGGTCGCCGCGGCAGCGTAAGCTTGCATTACTTGGCCCAAAGCTGTCGCACTTCGAGGCTCTTTAAAAACCTTCTTCGTCATTTGGAGGCGGGAGAACAGGTCCGTGGAATTCCAATGTGTCCACACGGCAGACAGATAATCAAACGAGGGGAAAAAGACGGCGACACCACCTACACACGCGGCGTACAGAGAACAGTTGGTGAAGGTGGAGGAAAATTATTGACGGTCTCGTGATGGTTATATAGGTTTGCCTTACCCGGAACGACCTTACAGACTTCAATTAAAAATTCGCCACATTCGTGGATCAGCCGGGAGTTGTTTCGATTCTGTTAGAGATAACAATAACATAATTACTAATAATTTATCAGTAAAAGGGTAAAGCACTTCAAACAACCTTAAAGGTGAAATCCCACGGGACACCGCCAGGCGAGAAAGATGGTGCATAAATGGCAAGTTGTCGTTTTGCATCAATTACGTGACCACACGAAAACAACGTGACGTCGGATTCGGACTTTCCAGCTGGGCGGAACACTTGGTCGGTGAACTCCTCAAACGGTTTCATTGTTCCACCTGCGAGTACCACGCTGCGTGCTTCTTTCACAACATCTAGTAAAGAAAAGTGCCATGTTAAGGAGTAGAATATGGGACTATCAAGTCCTGAGACGAAGAAAATCAAACATGCAAATCGTGCAAGCGAACGATTTGGACCGAGTTTGCAGCTAGCACTACCGTTATGCTAGCGGACAGCTCAAATCCCTGAACTGCACGAAACGCGTTTCCTGACCGAGCCGTCATAGAGAAGGCCTGCCTTTAGGCAACGGAGCAATAATCCGGTTAGGCATGCCTAGTCCGTGAGAAGTGAGGAGGAAATTGAAGCAGGTGAAAGAAAGGAAACCGAAATTAGTAGAAAAAAAGTTGGCATTCCTGAGCACATTGAAATTTTCATAGGGTTAATATGATATTTTCAGGTGCAAGTGGGTTTTATCCAACCGCAGTCGAAAACGACTTAATGAACTTGGGAGCGCTTAGCTAGTTACGCGGACCGAACATATAATCAAGTGATTTGCGTAGGTGCGTGTGCTTACCGTAAAGATAGCGCCCGGGGTTCAGAATGATGAAGCGAATACACCCGGCCATCTGATCAGCACTCGTTTGCTTCTGGTGCTGACTCGCGGGTGACGTGGGCTTGACGATGAGACGTCCGTCGTCGTCGCCTCCGAGGTCGTTCTTTACCAGAGCCTCGAGGAAGGAAAGCAGAGCGAACAGACTCGGACCCGACGATTCCAGATCCGGGGACGCTCCCTTCAACGTGGCACTGGAAGGCACCTTAAAAGAGTACACGCACATGCATATCTAGTGAATGAAGAAGAAGAAGGAAGAAGGAAAGTCTGACCGTGGATAGGATAACTGATGCCCGGCGTTAACTTTTGTTCACACCAAATTTGAACTGCAGAGACAACAACGAAGGACCATTTGGGGTTTTAATAAATGCCGAAATGGAATTATGCAGGCGAGGTCGAGTCAGCTGTAGTGTTTTAAAATGATACTCACCAACGACCGGTTTTAGCAGAAGTTCTAGAAAAAGGACTTTTGTCAAAACTAGATCACGGCGTCACTTTACATACGACTTCAAAATTTGTTCAAGACAGCAATGTCGGCAGCCTACAAATTCCTTCGATTTCTCCCTTCCCCCTTTCTCTCTCTCTCTCTCTCTCTTACATTCCATCCAAGTTGATCTTTGGGAAGAGAGAAAGGGTTTTGTGACAGCGGTTTTTTAAAAACAAAAACAAAGTAAGTCAGTGCACAATGCGATTATTTCAGACCTAGCTAACCTCTGAGAGCTCTGCCTGCACGTCGACGGCACGCACGCGCGCATGATAGGCAGCCATCGCGGGGAATTAGCGCTGCGACATGCTAACCAGCATCAGCTCTCGCGCGCGCTCCGATTCAGAGTAGAGGTTGGCTTTGATGTTGATTGCCTGCACACCACTGCGACAACTGCTGCCATTAGCTTGTGCGTGGTCTTACTCCCACCTACCACAGCACTGCAGTAATGATCTCGCTACCCCTAACTATGAGTGGTTACACGTGCACAAGATTCTCGAAAAAGTACTCAGGTAGTTTAAAAAAAACTGATTCAGCAATTCAGCATCATAAGAACACGGAAAGAGCAGAAGAGATTACACTTTTCTCAGGGCGATGCATTTTTATGCAAATTTATTTCATGAATGTGCAATTCTGGGCGTCTCCTATTTCAAATTAGTGGGGCGGAATTTACCGCTGTGGTGACTGATTCCGCATCAGAAAGGTGGGTTTCACACGCACAAATCAGTTAAAAAAAACAAGTGGAATTGTAGGGTAGCATAGGAGTATTGCAGGCGAATATGAATTAAGGTGTGTGATGGATAAGACTAATTATTCTTAAAGTGCATTGTTAGCGATTGTGGGCCTTGCCAAGAGAGATCGCATGCATGCCTGCGTGCATGAGGGTGTACACATGCACAGGGCACAGACGCAGTCCATTAGCGCAGGCCACATGCGCAGCTTGGCCTTGAGTGGCGCCGTCGTCGCGCAAACGAGTTGCTGTGCATAAATCAGGCAGCGTGCGAAAGGGCTAAAGAGTGGACAACAAAAGGTGTGCTGAACCAAAACACTCTCGGTAGTTGACTGTCCAGGAATTCAATGGTAGCACTGCCAACCTGTCGTCGGATACTTGGAAGCGACTTATTTCGAAACCAGGTAGACGACAGCCTTTGCAACAGATGACTTTCACTAAGGTTCACTGGCGACCATAATCACACACACAACCAGCGTGGATTAACTCACACTTGGCTGTTGCTGAGGCACCACTCGTGAAATGCTCACGACAACAAAGTGTTTAACCAGCTGCAGGTTAAGACTGGGGAGGTGGCACGTAGTGACTAACCAAACCGAAGACCATATCCAATGTTCAACGTTAGAAGTTCAAATGGTGAGATTGAGGTAGGGAAGAGCATCGTTCAGCTAATTTAATAACTGGGGTGTCTCAGACAAACATCATTAAACACAAGACACCCAAGCGGCACCTGAACCGGCCTGTGTCAGGATGTCTCCTCTGAAAAACCTTTCCGTTGCCCCAACGAATTGTCGGAAGTAGCAAATTGAAGGTTTTTGTCCCCACACAGACGATTAATGTAAACTATCAGAGACCTCGCAAATATCACCACTTCTTGTGCCAAGTGACAATCAAATGATCCTCATGCGGACAGACCAAGTCTTACATTCTTAAGACTTCCGCTTTGGTATTTACTCATAGATTTGAAGCCTTCAATTAAAAAGAAGGCTTGATCACGTTTCCCAAGATTGACTGCAGTTACCTCGCAGTTCAGTATATTTCACACGGAACTCTGCCTAATCTGTGTGCGTTTTTCACATATAAAGAGGGTAATAGGTTTTTCAGTAAATGGAAAACCAGTCCGAATAAATGACCCATTTATTCTACCAGACATGGCCACCCAAAATTCATCAAAACGGGACATGAAACACTAAAGTAAGATATTGGCAAAGAAACAGAATTCAGAGCTAGACAGAGCAACACTGAATCCTATTAGCAAGTAGATTATAAGCTGAGCAAATCCAAAATCGGGGTTGGATTTGGAGACAGGTAGGTTTAACCGCAGTATGGTCAAACAGGTATTAGACTTAACGTGTACCACACGAAACATAGACTTATTCACAAACTACCGAATATAAGAGCCAAGTATTTGTTGTATTTGTAGAACTGGGGCAAAGTTTCGAAGCTTTAGCAATGTTTGAGGCTAGATATAATGAGATAAGGCCTATAACGATGCAATTATTTCGACAAGTAAAAACAGTGGAAGTCCACAACTTACATTATCTGTTTCATTTGACTTTAGTCGCTTGTACGCTGGTTGTTCGGTAGCGTTCAGGCTTTGCACAGAGGAGGTCGGTGGACGCTTTAATTTTTGCAGACAATCTGAAAGACTAAGACCAAATTCTGATTTGTTCTCCTCAGCTTTCGTTCCTTTTTTCACGTCCTTCTTATTCCTGCCGCCAAACCACTTGCCGAATCCAGCAATTTTATGAACGCATCTATCCTTTTGCAAGTATTCGACAAGGTAACTCAAATTGATGTGATCTATGCCTGAAACAAACAACCAATCGGGGACCGTGTAGACGACCTCATCGCTCGAATTTTGATTTTCGGTTTCTACGCGCTGTCTGACCTGAGCCCTCAGGCCCTTGGACTTCCCGTCCAGCAGATTAGCGCAACCCATAATAACCAGGTTCAGTTGTCTTAGTCGCAGGACGGAAATAGCAGAAAGACGCGAGCGGTAGTAGTCGGAAAAGGCACTGATAAGCCGACCGGCTGAAAGCAGTTCGGTATAGGAGATGGCGGCGGAAAACGAGGCGGCCACAGCCTCGAGAAGATTGTGTGCCTCATCAAAGATGATGACATTATTGCGGAGTGAAAGGCCGGTGGCGTCTCGTATGCCCGGTACAACTACTGTCTGGTAGGGGGTGAGCACTAACTGGGCCAGCGGCAGTCCCTTCTTGTTAGCGTAGTAGGGACAGGCATGAACAGGAGGTTCTTCAATAGCAGTACCTTCTGAGCCTCGAATCACGGACGCCGCCTCAACGGCAGATAGGGGAGTTCCCAATAAATAATCAGAAAGCGCATCAACGTCGTCCTTGGCGCGAAATTTACAGCATGTAAGATCGAGGCAAGCCTCCCTAACCAGGGCCTGGTTCTTGAGACTATAAACGGCTTTATTTACACAGAGCATCTGGCGTGAGGCCAGAGTCACCACGGTTACTTTATCCGAAAGGTCCTTCATTTTCATCAACTCACCAACCACCTGAGCTAATTGAGAGTGTGTACGACTGCAGTAGATCACCTGCAAGACTCGACAATCTTCCATATTTTCGTCGATGTTGGGCGAAAGTTGGTCGCTGGCATGTCTGGCAGACAGGACCTCTGTCTCCGGCAAAAATAAGTCGTCAGCTGACTTGCCCAAATGCATGTCAGCTGCCTCAGGGAGTAGGGAGATGCGTTCGCGGACGGATTTTGTATGCCGGGGGTTTGGTTTCTCAGTCAGAATTTTGACTTCATTAGCACGCTTTATGATATCGGACGCCTTTGTTCGAGCCTTCTGACTAGCTTCCAAGGGTTCCATCTCTTTGTTCAATTGTAATCTTTGTGCGCGCCTTCGAGAATGTGCGGCAATCCAGTCTGGCTCATCAGTACTTTGACTGGCTTCTCTCAAAAGAAAGTTTCTAAGATTGCTGAGGTGATTTTCAACTGCCTGGTTGTGGTCGAGGAGCCAGTAGAGGGAGCTTGCGAGAAGGGTGGTAGACTTTCCCGTTCCAGTGGGACTTTCAATAATGCTGCATTTTGATGAGGCAAGCGATGCATAGAAAAAACGCATTAAATCTATCTGTTGCGGATAGGGGGTTGGGTAGGGAAAACCAGGGAAATCAGTCCTCTTCGGAGCTATAAAAACAGGAGCGCTGTTTGGACGTGTCAACATCGATACTTCGTTGGATTCAAGGCATGCAATCAGCTGGGCATCGTCGATATCATCTTCAAAATCACCCATCGAATCTTAAGAAAAGAAGATGAGCGCGTAAACGCCACGGGAAAACGCAAACAATGTGAAGCATAGTCGAAACAAAAATGCCAGGGTACCCCCAACACTGTTGTCTTGACACAACACAAGGCTCTATGTCTCATAGGCAAGTAAGAACTCTAGTTTTAGGGCTGCCATTTTTGGAAGCACGGTACAAAGGTGAGGTGGGCTTTGATACGGGCACTGGTGCCAAAAATAATTAAGACACTTTAAACCCATAAATCAAGTCAGCAACTTAAATGTCAAGTCAGATGGGTGGATTGCAGAAACCGCTTGGACAAGCGTAAATGTCAACCTGACAAAACCTTCAGAGTTAATATGCCAACTAAAGCAAGTACTTTTGGCTGAAAACAGCATGCAGCAAGAACAGTTACTGTCACAATGAAAGAACACAAGAACATTGGCATAGATCCACGTCGGTTTATGTCAAATATTACCGTCACCGATTGAGCGATGACATCTAAGGCCCACCTGAACACTCCTGCTATGCAAAACCCCAAGGCGCTACAATGCCGACGTTTTCGGAAGTGCATTGTCGTTTTGACTGATGCGATCCACAATGCATTTTTGAAGCCTTAACAAACTGCAAGCAATCTGAAAGCGTAGCATGGCAAGTATTTCTAAGATCTTCCAAGTCATTATCAAATACTTAAGCGTCAAATGATAATCAAAAGACATAGTTCTGTAAACAAAGCAAAATTCATTTTGGAACCTACTTAAGGCCTACTTATCTGGTTAGGATGCGACTCTCATCCACGAAATTATTTCTCACGAAATAAACGCAGAATAAGACACAGAAAGGGAGTGACCCTTGAGTAATTTAATAGACCAGACACCACCTGACCTAGGAGCGGGAGGTCAAGTGTTAGACTAGAGGCCAATCCACGGCGGTGGAGGACGACTTAGGGCGCTGATTTGGCGACGGAGCAGTGCGCACTAGCGTCTAGCAAATACGCCACTGAACGACTACAGTGTCATGTGAAGAAGTCTGGTGGGAAATGTCAATAACAAAAGCGTGGGAAAATAACCTGACGAAAATAGCTTCAGCGAGTTGCACAAGATCACCACACACGACCGCGCCGATTAAATGCGACAGCTAAATTAAGTTAATCGCTAGCAGTAGTCGAGGAATCTCGCGCCCCTGCAAAACCTCATCAGACGTCGCGCTCCACGGCGCTGATTCCATGACCAGAAATAACTCCCACAATGTGAGTCATGCTGTAAGATGAAGCTAACCAGGTCCTAATTTAGAATCGCGGAGCAAATATGAAATCTTGAAATAAGCAAATCTGCAACTGGATTATGGGTTCAGCCGTGCATCGAGACAGATGGCAGTGGGCTTGACCAAATGATCCAACATGGCATCCCCATGTTCACACAGATGGCGAATCATTGAAACAACACAAAATTCGATCTCAACTACCATGGGTAGGGAAAACGCTGCAAGGGAACCCTAAGATGTATGAGGAATTACTTCATCCAACTATCGCAAGGACTTCGAAAGGCGTTAGATTGGCCTGATGGCAAGCGCACTACAGATGCCGAGTGACGTACATCAGACAGCCAGATGAGCGAAAATCCCTAGATTGGCATGCACGAATATGCTTTTCTGTGACGTAAGGGAGAAACGTACAAATTAACTTTGCAAGCCCCGGATACAACTAACACCGAATTTCCCATGACCTAAATCCGCTTTAAGCAACATGCTAATTTAATGAAATGGTGGGGACTTGACTATGTGTGATCGGCCTACACGAAATTGCTTGTTGACCTTAAAATAGGCCTTAAAGGTAGCTCAGGGAGACGCAGACAGTGGTGAAAACACAAAATTTAGCTTTAGACATAAGGGCTGACGATCATTTCTAAGAGATTGGTCAATACAGATAATCTAAAAGATCATCACACTGCCTAGAGTTTGGATACACAGCAGCCCGCCAAAATGACTTGAGCGATTAAACGGATGACCTGCGTGTGGCACTTAAAAGCGCATGTCTTTCAACCCATTTAGCCGTTGCCGTCTGACAGACAGCAGGCACATGACAGAGGTCAGAGCAGTTGAGTTGAGATACAAAGTACAATAAAAAATTTCAAAAGAGTTAAACAAGGCGCTATCTTATTTACCAACACCCTACCTAGTGGTTCTGAATTAGCTTGCTAATCAGCGGGACTAATTTGAGTTCAAAGAAGATTTTACCGGGGCCATGGGTGTCAGGAAACTTAAGGCAAAATCTCGACTCCCAAAGCCCCTTGCACAACTTTATTGAGTCTAATTATTTACACTAAGGAAAGTTTGATTCCACATAAGTTGTTCCGGACTATCAAGAATCCGAAATAGCGCACGATGTCGACACGACTACAAGCACAAACGGCAGATGACGATGCCGTTGAATAAAGCTACCACCGAAGACAACCACTTGAGAACTTGAATAGCAACTCGATGATGCCTTGGACACCTAATCAAGGGCCATAACAAGGTCTACTTGGGCACATTAAAGTCAACGGCAAATGCAAACGGCACCAACGCCTTTATTGCAGATCGGCATTCCGTGACCAGTTCCTATTCAGTAGCAAAGACGCAAGGGCTCTTCGCCTAGACAGTTTATTTCCTGTCCACATTTAAATCCTACCTTGGGTGACCAACGTTTGAATAACTGCCCGTAGATAGCCTGGCACCTTTCGAAATGCAAGAGTGCTAGCCTAATGGCAAAAAATTCCAACCAGGTCTAGAGGCAAATAACTTTAGACATTTCAACATCGAACCACTGCTAATTAAAAGGAAATAAGACTCAGCCAGCAAGGCGACAAAACGACACGCAATAATTAAATAGGTATAGGTTGATTATTCAAAAAGACAGTGAAAATTGGAAAAAGCAGAGAGTTTGATAGTTCATTCGCAAAACTCGAGCAAAAAGGAGGCTGATCGAGAGGACCGAATTCACACGCAAACTATCCCAGAATTCAGACAAATTGTAAAAAAGATACAAGTGTGTAAAAAAGGAATGACAGCTGATCGAGTGTGTGGAGAGGTCAATCAAGTGTATAAATTATTTGCTAGACGGATGGAATATTTGGAAGTTGGCAACTGTGGTAAAGCGCGTGAATATGTTGGATGGGGGCTACTTTGTGCCGTAGATGGCGAGAACGTAGCGCTCGAAGTCAAGGGCACCATTGTCTCCAGCAGGTCTACTGTTCAGCGGCAGAAGCTTCGAGAGGATGTAGTCCGCCTGCTCGGGAGAAAGCTCTCGGCGCAGGTCCGCCTCTGTCAGATAGCCCTACAAGCAAGCGCACAAGATGGTGTCTACACATTAAAACAGTCGAACCCTCTATCAGTGGCATGCCGTCGTGCTTTCTTAAAAACAATTGACCTAGGTTGAAGGCGCTTAACAGAATCTAAACCGGATTCATGAATTGCACACAATTCGAAACAGAAGGGCCGCTAACTTATTTCTGCAAAAAAGCAGAATTTAGTCATTACTTAACTGAACACTCTGAAGCCAAGTAGTCGACAATACTTAAGGTAACATGCCAAATTTTGGTGGGTGCACTGGGAATGGCAACATTGGCGGGTCTACGCTGAATAAATTTAAAAAAAATACCTTTTCGCCTGATATTGTGCGGAAAGACTGAAGTAATTGATCAGAAGTGTCCAAGTCCGTGAGCTCACGAGTCATGTAGTCCACAAAGACATCGAAAGCTATGGAGCCATTCGAATTGGGATCCAGTTGTTTCATTAGTTTCAGAATATCCTCATCGGACTAGAACACAAGACGAGCAAGCATTTCGTACTCGTACAATCTTAGTCAGTATTTGATGACTAAACAATTAGCAAACTATGCACACCACACAAAAAACCCCAAGACCGGTTTCCGATTAGGGCGATGGTAGATTGTTAGCGCGCAGACAGCGATATCGAACGGGAAATAAAAAAGCACTACCATCAAGTTAAGCCGAGAGAACAAAAAGAGCGCAAAAGCTTCAACAGCCTTTCAATTTTAACCTGGCGCAACACAAATGGCGCATGATGCGGAAGATTCCCACTCTTGCATGTAGGCAAGGCCACTGAGCATAGCATCTTATGCAGGCGGGCGCGTGATTGATCCGTACGGTCGACCGATAGGAGACAGGTTAGTTAGCAGGCTGCTGAACGCCTCGCAGAGGTCAATTAAAGCAGAACACAACACCGACACTACACACCAAACACGTCGTAACAAAAGACGAAGGGATTAGGGTTCAACAATAAATCAAGGCGTTAAGTAAACTGAGTACAAGTCACCAGAGCAAAGAAAAGTGATAGAAGGCAATTTTCGAAGGATAAGTAAAGTAGCCAGTACTACCAAACAGCATGCAAATGTACCGTGTCTACGGAGGTCTTCCGCTGTGAAATACAAAGAACAATAGAAAATTAAGTAAAAGCACACATAAAACTTGGAAAACTTTAATACGGCGATAAAGCAGTGGGGCGTAATTAGTCGATGCCTGGGTGGGGGTATTGGGACAAAAGTGCCTCATCATTATGAAAATGCAGTCTGGAGAATACCAAGCCTCCACAATAAGCTCGCGTTGATTACGATTAATTATAGGGAGTGGAGTAATGGTGGACCTTGAAAATAGCTGGACTGTCTTGTTAAGAAGACTAGCACACTACTCGGAGTATTGGATGAAGAGAGAACCAGATACACATGCGTGACAGTTTAAGGAGTCTTCAACACAACTTGAAAAGATTTCGGAATTGACTTTCCATAATAAGCCCAGGTAACGACGAAACTATGTTGCCTTTTACGAAAAAAGGTGGCACTAAGTCAACTTTACTTGAAAAGCACTGCACTCTGTTTTACTCCCCTCTATCGATAAGCTTGAAAACGCATGAAGATGGTTGAAGATTGACCAACCTGCTTTTTGTCCTCGGCGACGATAGAGTGACCGATGGAGACGAGGCATGCTTTGAACTCGGGGCACTCAAGGCGACCAGTCTTGTCTTTGTCAAAGTGATTGAAACAGCGACGGAGGTCATCCAACTGCGACTTGCTTAAACCTTTAGAATCACGTGTCAAGATCTGATTTTCCACTTCGTTGCTGGTGTACGTTAAGCCCGTTGACAGTTGGTTCCACACGGAACGAAGAGTCGCCATTGGCACGGGGAAGTCAAGATTTTCGTAGGAATCTTGCAATTGCTGAAAAAGAAACAAAATGCCAGAAATGTTGCATATTTGGTAAAAATTCATATTTTCCAAAACTAAGACGACTATGATCGGTAAAGGCAAATTAAAAATTGCACAAATGACTGCAAAAAACAGTCCTGTGAGACTCAAAGACGAAAAGATGGGGAGGAATTGAGGAATTTTAATGGCGAGCATTTGTGGATAGCTAAGTGAGCCAATTCGTGCTAAGAGTGGAGGTATTTCATTCCAATGTGGTCGCACTTACCTGGTGGCACTCCTCGAGTTCGGTGAGCTTGGGTCGCTGGGCCGCGAGCTCCTCGCCCAGGGTGGCCAGGAGCTTGGCCTGCTCCTCGAGGGAGGCGTCACCGAGTCCAACGTTATTCAGACGTCCCTGGGTCTGCTCGAGCCAGGCGTTGAGCTCTGTCGCCAGTTGAATGAAACGCTCCCGCATTTTTTCGCTAGCCAACCAGTGCTTTCTCTCGTTTTCCAATTCAATCCTGCGCTGATCGGTCAGTTTCTGCGTAGTCTGCCACTCAGAATGCAGCTTCTGGAGGCAAATGAAACAGTGTATCTGAATGCCGATTCCACAGACTTATTAAAAGCACCAAGTGTGTGTATAGCACTTTGGAAAGGAGCAAAAAATGATACCTTACATGCGGAACACAGATACATTCATTACACGCGATTCGCAAAGTGAAAGAAACCCCAAACAACTAGTAAATTTACAAACCGAGAGTCTATGTACAAAACACACCTGCGAAAGGACTGTATATCAAGAAACATGGAATAATGATTCGCCCAATTTAGAAACGAAATTAACATAACGAAGTTGAAGAATAACAAATTTATTTCGCACGGGCTCTTATCATTGCAACTTTATGAGATGAAAGCATCGATGACTCTGGAATGTCTCTGACATGAATTGATTTTAAATCCTGCGAGGACTCTCAAAAGTGAGAATATTCAAGTGGTGTTCTCTCACATGACCACCTTTCAAGTACTAATTCAAAACTTTGGATGAATCTACAGTACTGGATTTTCGTAAACAGCTTGACATCAACTGTAGGAAATCTTTGGAAATGCGTATACTACGTTCTTTTGCAGGAAATACCAAAGGTCAATAGTCGAACGCAAGTCTGAGTAGCCAGAATTGCAAATCACCCAGATGAACTCACTAGTGATCATGCCACTCGCTACTGAGGCATAAAGTGGAAGCTTGGTTTTGGCAAACTGTAGCGTTCAGAAAGTTACGCAGAAAGTTTACGAATGAAATTGAGCCTTTAAATCTGTTAAATGCTATTGCAGACGTTAAAACTGCACAGGATGCAAGATATAACGATACCACAATTGCAATTCGGATACATACTTGGGGTCGAAGGTGCAGACGACGAAAAGGATCTAGAATCAAAATCAGACTTACCACCGTGGTTACATTGCTATAAGGATTTTCGATAGAATCCCTGTTGAGTTGTTTACAAAGCTCGTCGATCTCGACTTCCAGGTTTTTGATCTTTGCATACTCTTCTTCCTTCTCTTTCAAAGACTTTTCAAATTCCTCATGAGTGTTTATCAATTTCTGGAAAGGCAGAACAACACGTCATGAAAGTAGTGACTATTAATGGACAATTGGAAAAAGAATTAAAAAAATGCGTTCGCAGATGTCGGAACTCATTACTCAGAACATGAAATGCTCGCATTTCATATTAACAACTAATTTGGTTTTGGACGCGCAGGCGGACAATGGTAAGTCTGACAAATGAATACCGCAAAGTGGGTTGTAACAGTCCAGTATCAGTTTGGAAAGTAAAAGGTCGAGCAAACACTCGTTTTGCCACGGTAAATGACATTCGGTTAAAAACTGTCAGAGGAAGATCAAGTTAATGGGCTACCACGCTGACACAAAACTACCACGAGTAAAATCAAGGACAAATAACCATGCTACAATAATTTGATGATGTGACCCTTTATTTGCACGAAACCCTAGGCTGTGCCACGGAGTTGTTTAGCACTAAAAAGGAAAATTGGAGACGGATGCAAGTAATGTGCTAAAAGCAATAAGTCGGCACACGCAATACGCACAGATAGGGACCAATTAAAGGCACGTGACTCTGAGCATAACTATATTCACTACTTTGCATACACAGCTGAACGACGCCAACAGAAGCGACAGATCTGCTTAGAGAAATTTGGCACGATAGAAAATTTTAGGTAAAATCACGGTAGCATAGACTATAGATGGGTACTGGGATTGGCGTTGCAAATACACGAACCTACCTCAACGTCCGCTGTGGATTGGGCAATGAACTTATCGAGTAAGTCCTCCTCTGCTTGCTGCATCCAATTGTGGAATGGCTAGGGAATTTCAGGAAGAGGTACGAATAAGGTTGTGTGCTTCAGTAGAAAACACCAAGAACGAATAACTTACGGCTGAAAGCTTCGCAGTCTCAAGGTGTTTGGTGTCGATTTTCTCCAAGATAACAAGGGAATCCTGCATAGGAAAGTAAAAAAATCATTAAGGGGGGAATTTTATGGGGCCTAGCAGAGTAATTTTGACATCGCGAAGTACACTGTCTAAATGAATTTTAAGCATAAAACAACCGAGAACTATCAATGAAAGGTGAAAACCACGCATGTGTGCAGTCAATAAGACTATTAAATCACCAGAATGGTTGTCAATCACCAAGAATGCGAGAAAAGCATTGCTGTGGACCTTGAAAAAATGTTGTTAGTGCCATAATATAGCAAACGGTCAGGAGTAACCACACCAGGGCATGTAGTTTACTAAAATTACAGAGCAGCTAAGGGCCAAACATACCGAGAGATTTTGAAGGCGCTTATCAGAAAGTTTCTTAAGAGAGTCCCAGCTACTTTTGATTTGCATGCACCTATTGTCAATCGATGGCATATCGGAGTAGCCAAGGTTCCTAGGAAGGATAAAAGTGGGATCATCGATTATTTCTACCTTCTATGGCAAATATCCAAAATTGAAGAAGACTGATGACAGACAACTGCGCAGAGCTTAATACACACAGAACAGATTTAATAACCCCCAAATGTGATAGTGACCTCTGAGTTTTAACATAATGCATCACAATATTAACCAGAAGGCTGCACCTGAGCTTACCTAATCTCCTGAGCGATAGATTCGATACGCTCAACACGACCCTGCTGAGCCATGAGATCGGAGACAAACGCTTCATGCTTTTTTAGCATTGGACGCACCTCAGCCACGGTGCATTCTAAGTAATCGGAGGATTGCAGATATTCAGACTTCCCATCAATCCAGGCTTCGAAAGTTTTACACCTAACTTCGAAACGAGACAGCCAGTAGGCCAAGATCGTCGTTCTTTTTCTTTCGCCCATAAGCCACTCCTATAAAGTCAGTAAAATGTTTGTTGACTTTCGACACCTTACTACAAAACTCGCAAGCATTAACATACCTCATAATTTTTTTCGCAAATTTCTAACTCCTTCCATAGAATTATGATATTAGCTATTAGCATTCCATCTGCTGGGAGGAATGGCGGACGATTGTTGAGGCGTAGGCGAGTTTGTAAAGTGCGAAAAGTGGTTTCGAGACGAGATTTCTCTTCAATTTTTGCAGGTTTTTCTTCAGTCTGGTATTGGTGCAGTTCTTCCAGAAACTTGTTAACTTCTTCGAGTTTTAAGTTTGGTTCGCGATGCTAAAGAATTAATGCATCAGTAAATGCAAACACGAATTAATGATCTTACATCAAAAGCTGCCTTTTTCTTTATAATCCAATCTTTGAGGTCAGTAAAAAGCCCGTTGTATGTATCACAGAGCTGATCGGCCATCTGACTAAGTTCTATTGATTTCTTGATACGAGTAGCGGCGGCACTTGCCTATAATAAACGCTTACAAGAAAATATATGAAAGCATACCTTCTCTGCTTCAGCAAATAGATGGAAAAAGCACGAAACGTATGTGATGACCGAGCGGTCATCAGGTTTAACAGACTCGAGCATGTCTATGAAGTATGAACTAGAACATTTGACAAACCATCCACGTCCAGCATCTTAGGAATACTCAGACTTTGCTCAGCAACATCAAATGCTTTTGTAAGAGCATCCCTAGAGGAGGCTTTGGCGACTTCATCAAAATTAAGTACATCAGGACGGTAGCGGTTGATAATAGCACAAAAGGCTTTGCCATCCTTGAAACTACAAGACCATGACGACTTAAAATAATACGTACCTGGTATTAAAGTTCTTCACATTAACTTCCGGATAGGGTTCCGTTGAACGCTGACACCAAAGAAGTAGACCATCGTTTGCAGAACAGTCTGCATCAATCAATTAAGCATAACATAAAAAAGTACTTTCGATTTGAATATCCTGAATAGCAAAACGGAGAATGATCGTCCATATCATGCCAAGTGTCATTTTAACATTTCCATCGACAATTTCTGAGAAATATGATAACCATTGATAAACCAACCTTCTGCAGCAATCCCAACAAGTTTAACACCTTTGCTCTGAATAAAAGCAAATGCTTTGTTAACGTTTATTATTTTGTGAACACGCAGTTTGCCACGTTCGGGTTGCGGCAACACCTCTCCTGAAATGGCTTCTAGGAGAACCAGAAGCTTCAGACCACTACGGAAATCTTCCTCAATAACAGAAATCTCTGTTCCTTTTTTTTTCAAATGAAGATTACACCAAGCAGTGAAGGTCTACATAATTTAAGAAAAACAGATATGACATACCTTCTTTTGCTGTTTTTCCCAAATCGGATCAATAGCTGTTTCACGTTCATGAGTCTCTTCTTCGTCATCATTCACATAACCCTCGAATTCGAAAATGGAGTTTGCTTGCGCCGCTTTAGCGACACCGGTACGTTCCATAGTCTACGATTTTCAAAGTCCTTGAAAACGCCGGGAGAAAGGAATTAGTTAAAACACAATGACGCAGAAATAAATCAAAGCAGCAAAACTCTGAGCAGTAATGAAAGAAAGCGAAATCTCTCACAACAGACTTTACCAACCGGTCTTAGTAACAGTCGCTAGACCCGTCTCTGCACGGTCATCCGTAGAGATCCGCAAAACTAGTACGTTGATTTTGTCGACACAAACTCTGGTGGTTGAACCGAAACTCAACAATAATTACGGCACTTCATTTCCAAGCTACTGGGTATTTTTTTAGCGTTTTTGGTGCATTATTTAAAGCAAAAGGCATTGGTTTTTGGACAAGTCACCACGGCTTCAAAATTTATAAGTATATTCAAGGTAAATTAGGCGAGTAAATTAGACGTAGGAAAACAGCAAACTAGGATTGCCTATTTTGACCGATGACATGCTTGTCTTCACCCCAGTCGTCAGATGCAATATGTGACCCCGGGGTAAAATCTACCTGTACTTTACACTGTCTTGGTGTTCTGCGACAAGGGGTGAAGCGCGGAGGTACTATCCAAGTTTGGTTTCTCCAATATTTGTCATGGTTCGTTGATGTTATACAAGTCAATTTGCAAAAGAAGTACCTTGCAGAAGTCATAGAGATTTTTGAAAGATGACTGTCATGTGTTCGTAATCGCACCAAAAATTTACACTAAATATTCACCTGCGATGACTGTGGGTTTGTCAGAAGGCAAATATTCCGTACCTGGAATTGTCACTTTATGCTCGATTCAGAAATCACCACAAACATAATCACCATATCCTCCAGATCAAGTGTCCTTCCTCTAGTTACTTCTGCATGGAATAGATTAGGTATCCCAGATTATGCAGTGGTGGACAATGACAAGACGTGTTCTTCACTTGAACGCCTTTCGCACATTCTAGAGAAGGCTGCCCGATTCTTCCCAGCCAGACAGGTTGGTGCAAAGTGTACCACATGTGCCCCCTCCTCTCCAATAACCGAGAAAAGCGCGGACTAGCTTTGGACGGGAAGTTGAAAAATGAGGACACCAATTTGGCCTCTTCGACCATGTGAGTCTCCTTTAACCGCCGCCTCTTCACTCCACTTCATTGTTTTGCAAGTCACCTCGTTAATTGGACCTTGTACAGGCTAGTGCCTGTTGGTCTCACGACTGTTCTGAAGCCTTTCTTCCCACGTCGTGTCTGAGAACACTTTAACGCCTTCAGAACCAATGCTTTATGTCATGCATTAACCTGGCAATTCCATGGTGCGTTACCGACACCAAGTAGACTGATGTCAACACTTTGTTAAACAATCACACGCAACCACCGCCTCACATTTCGACTCGCTCACCTGACACACAGTTCGCCGTTTCGTGGTATTGATGCCGACACATAAATCGGTTATTCGTAAGCACTCACGTACACACCGATCAAGTCCCACTTGCACCAATGTCATCTCCCATCTTTTACTCCTTTAGAATTGTCGATCCTACCCAGAAGGAGAACCTAGGAATCATTGTTCAATATCGCGTCCGGGTGCGACTGGTTTTGGGCTTCGGTGCAAGGTGTGCGTCTGGCATGATTGCTTTGTTTTGCCTACAAATTCTCATTGCCAGATATGTGAGTCAGTAGCACGCGTCTTCCTCTGACCTCTCACAACTACGAGAGAAGTCGAATCTGTCCGCAAGCCTGCTCGAATGAATAACGCAAACCACTAGTGAAACATATCCATCCGCAAATGCACCAAAAGTCGACACTGCAGTTGTTTTGTAGGTATGGAGCTCAACGGCAGTCCGGACACAATTCACGGATGTTGATGTAAATTAAGAAGGCTGATTAAAAGCTCTCCTTGCCGTTGTCCCATCAGGAAAGCCATGCTCGCTTACCTAGTGACTCCTGAAGAATAATTGAACGGGAACTAAGATGGAAGCTCTTCGGTCCGTAGCTTGTAGCCTACCCTGTCGCTTTCCGTACAATTTAGCAGTGCACTCAAGACAGTTCAGTTGTTAATGGCATCTGTGGAAATAGTTTTATCGGATTATTTAAAAGTGGCAGTAGTGCCACTTCTTCCTTCGGACCCCGATGCAGGCAGGTGGATACGAGTGTAAAGTAAACATGAGTGATTACTATCTACTTGTGCGCGTCGCATTCCTTTCCTCCTCTTAGCGACGTGTCTGTGGAGTTGCCTTTCACTCTGGCTCACCCAAAGCCGCCGCCGGAGGAGGAGGAGGACGAGCCGGATGAAGGGTCCCAGCACCGTGCAGCGGTGGAAGAGGTCGTACTTGCCACTGGCTCTCCTACCAACGGTGACTCCGTGCTCACTTCTGCCAATGATCCACACGACAAAAATGGCCCTAGGGTTTCGGGGGGCGATTTTATCAGCCTCGCGGAACCTCCTCCAAGCCAGTAGGTTCATCCTCGTAGTTGTGCACAGCTGTGATTGCTAGTGACCCTGGCAAGCTACACTTTGGCCCTGTCTACGACTATAGAGACTGCGGAGACACTGTGAGGGCATTTACAGCATTGTGTTGAGTTGCACTTCCGTTCTGGTTGTCACTCGAAGCCTGTTGCGCTCCCGAAATTCGGTAACATCGAGTTATGCGATTTATGGAGTAGGGATGTGCTTTAAGTAGAGTGCCTTTCTAGGCAGAATGTCTGCACCTCTATCGAGTCATTTAAATCATTGTTTACGTCGAGCATATCTCTTAGACTGCCATCGAGGCTATGCCTTGCTAGTTTAGTTAACACTAGCTACTTCAACTCCGCAGGTCCAACGTCGTATTGGAGGATCGACCTAGCGACGACCTGATATTTGAGGATTTTGCCCGTCTGCGACTGCGTGGCCAGGACTCCATAGCAGGCACAGGTGATGAATCGATTGCGTCGACCTCGTTCCCTGTTTCGACGACGCTGTCCGCCATCACCCCTACAACGGGCAGCAGCCACCTTCCTACCAGCACCGTCAACACCACCACCAACACACTCCCCTGCTGAACCAAACCTATGCCACACTTCTCGCCGTCGCCATGTGCAATACGTTTCTGTGCCCTCTTTGCTCCCGATGCCCACTGCATGTGTGTGTGTATGTGCGTGTGCTCGAATAACCACCCGGCCCTTCCCTCCTTCTTGTATCTAATGTGAGTGCTCCTCTTATTACTGTTTACGCGTACAGAACGCGCCTCAATTGTCATTACACTCGTATTTAACAACCCCTGATTTTATGTCGTCGTTTTAAAGATATACATTGCTATTGTTAATGCATGCGTCTGGCTTTGATAAACAAAGTGAATTTTTTCTCATTAGTTGGCAAATATACAGGAGAGTAGGTTGGGGCGAGCCTTCCGGGTTGTACTGCAGGTCATATTTTGGACCAATACTTCTCACTCACCCGGCGTTGCGAAGGCGGGGTCCTCTGAAATGGATACAAGTAAATAACTGAAATATGCCTAGTTTGAGTGAAATGAACGCAGCCGAATCATCAGTGCGTAGTGCTCATTCCCAAAAACCCGATAGTTAAAGTTCTCGATGCTTTACCACTTGCCAAGGCGTCAGTCTACTTCAGTCCAAGATGGTGCCGGCTCGTTTGTGCTGTCGTAATCCAAGCAGCAACCGCGACGCTTTTCTCCCGTGACAAGTCTCCACGTGGCATCCATACTACAGTGTGTCTTCGAAGTTCTCCCGATGGTTTCATTAACTACGAGTGTGTATGGCCCCATTGGTCTCAGATCCAAAAGGATGACCAAGATTTTTGGCAACCTGAACATTTAACTATTCATGCAAATTTTTCTGCTTGCTCGGATTTACAGAAGCAGTTGAGATTGATTGCGTACGCCCCAAAATTTACTCTTGATGAGTGGTTCAATTGGGAAGGAGGTGATGATCAGTGGCCACTGGTTTTCTTGTCGAAGACATTGCCCTCAATCTGCATTTTTACTCAGATCATGAACCATTAGTCTTGGCCACACCGCCACTCGCTTCTAGCCGCGTGGGACGTAAAATAAGACAAATTGACTTGCTGCCGCAGTTATACTTAGAGTTCCAATGCAGTTGGTGTCGCGGAAAAGGAGGCTGTCGATGCCCTCCTCAGGACATGGTCTTTCAGCGTTATTTATTGCTGTACGAGTCATTCAAATTGAACGAAGTAGACTTTGAGGCTGAGACCAGACAAGTCATAGATATCGAACTTTGGCCCTTTGATCAAATTAGTTTGCTTGAGAAAAGCAGAACTGAGTAGAAGCTCCTTTGATAAATTTCGTCGATTTTCAAGTCTGGCAATTTTGACGCCTGCTACCGGACAAACGCGATACCCTGTAAGCGTCCCTTACCCAATAGTCTAATTAAAGGGTACAACGTGATTATGGAAATCATACTAATTTAATGCACATTGTGGAGCCCGTGAAACGGATTCCTTCGTGTGGAAACGAATTGGGATGCGCCAGTCAGCCTCATTGAGGTTTCTTCCATCCGTAGACATGCTTAGTCAATGCGAACTCGGTTCATGTCAAAGTTGAAATGTGTTATTCTTCAAAACCGCATGGCAGTGATATGTCTAATTTTTCATCTGAAGCGCCTCCTCAAAACTATGGTCTCTTGTTTACCCACAAGACCTTACCTCTACTTCATTTTGCTATTATAAGTAGGTTTGAGTTCGCCAAATTAATTTTAAAGGGAATTGTAAATAAACTAGCACTACTCAGTAGTTTTTCAATACGCTTTGTTGCTTCTTCTTCTTCTTCTAATTTTGTGACAACCATGCATCACTGTGACATCTGCCATGAGAACAAGCGGACAACAGGAATTCTCTAACGATGCATACTTAGTGCATGCTTCCTCTTAAGATGAACAGATAAATGGCATCTTACTGGGGTACACATGCACATACCGTTACTTCTAGGTCATCAACTTGGTTCTCAACTCGCAGTACACCGAACTGGAAACAAGTTCGATTTGTATCATTCACCTGATGACACTTTCATGTAATGCAGACAAAATATCAGCATTTCGTTTTGTAATGAGGGAAAGTGTTTTGCATTGGTTTTACTAGTTGGCTTCTACGGAACTTACTAGGGAACAGAAAGCATAATTCCGTTACGGTAATTTTGAACAACACACCTGGGATTCCTTATTCGATGGCCTGATGGAATTTCGATGTTGAGTTCTTGAATAAGCATTGACTTGACAGCGTCGAGTTAAAACTGCGGGCTTCGCTTCCAGTGGCATAATAGTGCTAGCGGTATTTCTCCGCGATTTTTTCAAGTTGCTTTTTGGGCGGATGTGGACAGAAGAATGATTAGATACAGATGTGGGCATTTCATGCGCGAAATTGCTAATTTTGAGCAAATCGTCTGAAAGCTAGAAGATCAAACAAGGTGGGGAGAGTACATGAGCTAAAACAAGGTTTGGGGCTAGTTAAAGAATAGACGGAATTTTTTGACAAACTATTAAGACACGGATGATAACACACTGTCGTACCGAGTTATAACACGATAGATTTTACTCTACGCAGAAATTTCAAATCAGATTGAGTTTCGGGTGTGGAAAAAACCTATCTTGAGAACCACAGATACTTTGGATGTCCAAGACGGTCAATACTTGCTTTGCTTTAAAATGACTTCCAAATTGGCAAAATGAAGTCTTGGCGAAACGGATGTCCAGAAAAAATCATGCAAGCAGCTGTCTCTTCATCGTGTGACATAGGTCACGCAATTCAATTATGCAAAGATGTTAAAGGCTGGGGTGCAGAAAAGTAATAGAATGCTTTGTGAATAAACGCCTTTAGGACTGCTGTTTACCAGCTAGGTTTTGAAAGAAGCTTATGGTACAGTAATACATATAAACAGCCGTGAGATGCGATAAAAGTGCATTAGGAGTTTAATGTGGTATAGCAAGAAACGGGATTTGGAAGTGATTGTACACTTGACAACAGCGGTTCCACCTGAATGAATATCGGACATTCAATTTCGTCTGAAAGGTGACTGTTCAGTTAAACTTTCATCTGTGGTGTGTAATTAGTCCCAACTTCACAGTCAGTTTTATTTAGAACACTCTGCTGAGCAAAGGAAATCCAGATTCCCAAGATGCAGTCGACTTCAAGGTAATTCAATCCGTCTGGGGTCGAATGAACTTACAAGTTGTGATATAGGTTTGGAGATAAATTTTAGTCACGCCAATATCCCCTTCACATTTCCCTTTTTACTTTCGCCCCATTATCCTTCAAAGTTTAGTCTCATGGATGCAATTCCTATCTACAACGTTTGACCAGCTGTGCAAAGTTTTGAAACAGTATCTAGCTGCGTGACTCAAAGGGATAAATTTGGCGTATGCACCCAGATGAACAACAAATACAGTCGACTTAGACAGAGACCTCAAGCTGGAGTTTCCAAAAGAAGACTGTGTGAATTATTTTAAATCGTGTTGAAGAGTTTTTGGGCGTGTCAATAAGCTTGTGCAAAGGCTAATTTGCGATTTCTACGGGGTCCTAACCATGGTTCACAATGAAACCCCGGTGACTTGCGCCAGTTGGTTCTCAGCACCAGTAACAAAGTCTTCGATATCGTGCAATTTATCCAGTTTGGTGTTTGAGTCCCAATAGGGCTTCATTGTGCAGCAACTTTTGCCAAAGAATTCGCGCACATCCATTTGGCCAGTCCGCGACCACCACCTCAATTTGATCCACATCCTGTTCAAAGTAGTTTTAAAAGCGAAATTTTCTCCTTTACAGATACAGGTCACCACGTTGTGTATTCTCTCTGACGAGAATAAACATTGAGCTGATTTACTTATGTCGCTACTTTTATTATTTTGAGCAAATTTACCTGGGACATACCAAATCTTTAGCCATTGAGCTATATAATGATACTATACGAATGGATTACACAGATTAAATTCACAATGTGCTCAAAATGTAAATTGCCTTTTTCGAAATCAGGACACTGAGTCAATCTGAATTTGCTTGGCTAGAGAATATGACTTGTCAATGCAACAGCGTGGATGCCAAAACCCTCAAGCATTTATATCAACCAGAAGGTTGCGAAATGCTGAACGTACTTCAAATAAGGTAGATTTAACTGTCCCTCGAAAAGAGGAATATTTTCCTGAGCTGAGTCTTTCTGTTTGACTTCGTAGGTCCATCGGTGGTGGTGCTGCAAATATGCCGTCTAGGGGACAACATGGCGACCTAAAATAACGAAATTTTGCTGGACCATGACGTCTGATACCGAGGCTCTGGTTTCGCATGTTATAGACCAAACGATAGTTACATGATGAAACAAAACGGGGCGAAATTCCGCAAGCGGCCCTACGCACACGCGACATTTATAGGGCCATTTGGCTCACGGCTTTTGTCAGAACACTATAGTTGCGTCTGAGCCCCGACACTGCTACAAAGACGCGCCAACCTGGTCTGAGTGATGCAAAATTTCGAATAATTTTAACAAAATAGTGACTGAAGAGAAATTCGAGCAAGGCAAGCAGCGAAAAATACCAATTTGCCTGGCAAATACGTACCTTTGGTGGTTTATAAGCGCTGTTATTTAAGCCAATTTAATTTTAAACTCTTAATATTCTTCTCGATCACAACCAGTCTTAGCATTCAGAAGTTAAAGCAGACCTAATGCTTTGAAGCTTAATAATATCTCTTTGACTCCAGATGATTATATTTGCAATAGAATTCAGAAAACAGACAATTTGCAACGATAAAACAAGCCTAGTAGCCTGACATCATGAAATTGACTAGTTTTAGCAGTCTTATGAACCAGACATTATTATTAATTGAAAATTAACTTCAGATGAAAAAGATAGTTTCTACTACGTTTATGGTATGACAACACGAAGCACCAAGAGACTTTTGCTTAGCCTTGAGTCTTGTTTCAATACGGTGCTCGAAATTTGCCAGTGCATACGCAACGAGCTACCTGTTCGAAACAAATTGAGAATATCAATGCATGCAGGTGGTGGAGCACAATTTACTTATTTGAGGTAAAATATTGCATGTCTTGGTGCGCCAATAAGCTACTACACATAGGTTTGCATTAATCATAAAATGTTTAAATGTGTATGATAGATTTTGCTTCGTGAACTGTCATGGAATCGCAAGCAAATATCATGCAAGAAAAATAAATTAAGAGGTATACTAACGCGTGAAGGAGCCACTGATCGATGCACTTTGTGTGGAAAATGTGGTTGCAGCCCGACAGTTTTCGGACCTCTTCTTCTTCACGAAAGTGCATCAAACAAATCCGACACTGCCTTCCTGGTGCTAGAAGTCCTCGAGGCCTCTCAGACCTCATTAAGTTGCCTGTCTTTTCTGCTAGAGTTTCGCGCATTGGTCTGATAGTCCATTTGGTGATTCGGCCCAACTCCACCAGACACAAAGTTTTCGTCAGTGCTTCAGAGACAGATCTTGTAGACAAATACAAACCACAGTCATAAATACTCATAAATCATTAATATTATGATTTTACACGTTTCTTTAGCTAATTTACCGTCAAAATCGCTGATTTCTTCCGCATACATACACAATAAGGTTTTATAATAAATTTTAGTAGGACAGATTGGCAAGCAATGTTTATATTAGCCAGACTTTTGTATATTTGTTTGACAACGATAATGAACTTTCAAATTTGTGATATACCAATACAGAACGATTTGTAAATGGGAAAGGTTTAGTTTTAACCCTAAAATCCGACTTCATTTATGGAAGATGATACGGGAGGAGGCCGTTAAGTCGATGAAGTATCTCAACATTGGCTTGCAAATCAACGGAAACTCATGCGAAAAACATGGGAGCGGTAATATACAACCTCCAATTCTGTTAAACAACAAGCTAAACTAACCCGTATTCGCTGTTTGCTATAATGGTTCGGTCGAATCCGGCAATCAAACCAAAGTTCTGAGGAACTTTTAACCATTTGTCTGATGGTTTCTACAATGCATTAACATGGAACTTTTTAAGGAATTGTACCTATTATCTACTTTGCCTTTTTGCCAAAGCCTTACTTTACAAATAAGTGAAAATGGGACGATACTGAAGCCCACTAAACTAAATATAGTATAACCTATTGTCGTTAAGTTTATGATCGTTGTTTGCCTATCTTTTTAGTAAGAAATAAATTCTTTCAAATATTTAGAATAAAATGGATAATTGATGAGTTACGGTGACTCAAACTTACATCTTTCCAAAAAAACACTTGTTGTCCTATTTCGCTGTTGGCAGCATAATCCGCTGTTTGGTTCTCAAAACATTTACTGCATAATGTTGAACTAATGGTTTCGATGGTCGCCCTTCGGTCACCACTCTTCATGCCGTATAGTCTACCGATCACGGGGTAACAACCACAGATTGCGCATATGTATTCATGTTTAACGGGTTTTTCAATACTTCTGAAAATATGAAATGATGTTCCGTCACCATTCTCCGATCCTTTCTTCTTTTTGATTTTCAAACTTCTATTAAAAGCAACCTCGTGGGTAAGGTCTTCCAGTTTAGCGAATTCCCCCCTGCACATAGGGCAGGAAACAATATCGGAATTATCTGAATAAACTAGCTAATTTGTATAAATAATCAAACCTAAGTGATTCTTCAATGGTTGGTGGTCCTTCCACATTTTCATGCACTTAATGTGAACACTGTTTCCGCAACCTTTGCGACAAAAAGTCACAGGAAATCTTTGCCTCTTAAAAAATTCATCCTGACAAATGGCGCATATATCATTTGGTCCAATAGTACGTTGTTGCACTTTGGTCTATAATTCTATAGCGTCAATAACAGATAAAAGTACATTAACATTATTATCCATTTTCATGTTAGATGAATCCGTAGCCTGGTTCGATGACATATGCGACACTTTTTCCAGTAGAATAGATATATCTCTTTCACAAAGCCCACTTTGCCATGAAACTTTACAAATTAGGAATATCTTTTACACAACAGATTACTTGGATCGTTTTTATTTAATTTAAACTTCTTCAACAGAATCCAACATATGTGTTTGCACAATTCTTTCTCCTTAGCGTAGGTTTTACACGTACAAGAGTGTGGATCACCAATCAAAACCTTTGAAAGAAACGGAAGTTACGTCACCATACTTTGTATTTTCCATCCTGGTGTTCCTCCTGAATGAGAAATCCCATCGGTCCAAATTTTTGCAAAATACACATGGTCGTGCTAAGCGCCTCTTCTTGGTGCTGAATAACGATGTCAGAAATTTCTCGTTTAAAAATCATTGTAGAAATAATAAAAAAGTCCAAATATTTGAAAGTGCGGGTAAAGAGTGCCCATGGTAATTTGAGCCAATCCAATAAAATATTCAGGCCGTTACTGTAATCATTTGCATTGTATTAGACATACTTACCCCAAGCCAAAAAAAATACTCTGCATTTACCAAAGGAATGCATTAGTTAAGTTTCCAGCACAAATATTTGGCCTGTGATAAAATTCAAGTACTTAGGAATAATATTAAGCAGAAAGAACAGAATAAGAAAAAATCGATTAGTTAAAATTCAGGAATCTCGTGCGCGTTTTTTCAGTAATGCATTAAAAATGGCTGCAGAACAGACTGAAAAAAGGCTAGAAAAAGAAAAAACTCTGATGTGAAATGAGCGACGCGAAATCGCAAACAAAATGCGGTGAAAGCACATGAGAAAATAACAATAGATTTCGAAACCAAGATGAATTATCAATAACAATTAAAGCACATCATGTGTCGTACTTCAAGTGACATCTCAGCTGAATGCTGGAAACGTCGTCAAGGTGTCTCCGCAGTCTCTATAGTCGTAGACAGGGCCAAAGTGTAGCTTGCCAGGGTCACTAGCAATCACAGCTGTGCACAA